CTTAGAAATCCTTGGAAGTTCGTAACTCAAGGATTTTCTTCTTTTATTAGTTGTACAAAATTTGATGTGGATGTGGTGTCTGAGAGGAATGTAGATTGATTCTTGTTCCCCTGCTACTACATTTCTAGGTTTTATGATCTCTCATATCTTCAAAATACCCAAATAACTTTTGTTGGTTCACTTCTAAAAATGGGACAATAAATGTAACTTTCAACAAGTATCTAGTTTTCAGCTTGCATATGCTTTTCTACATTCATTGCAGTGTCACAGTTGGTAATATTTTTGTCATTTTGAGCCGTGTCATCTGTCGGGTAAACCATTTGCTCTTCGTTTAGACTGGTATTTGCAAATTGATTCTTAAGTGGCAAAACATCGATCTTCTTATCATTCACCAAGCACGTAATTTTTATCTTTGCACTCGAGTTTCCGACGACCGTTCATCTCTACCACATTGTACAATCTCATTTTTGTAGTATTTTTCAATAAAAAGTAGAATTTTGCCTACCTCCTTATTCTGATATATTTCACTCACTTTTTACTAATGCTTTGGATACCATGCTCTCATTACTTTCATGATCTCTGATTACATTACATGCGTTTTTGTTGCGGTGCATCATTTTCTAAAAATCTTATCGTGCATAAAATTGAGCACATTTATATCGCCTTTGTAGACTACTTTCCAAAAATCCTTGATAACTTGCTTTTGCTCGATGTGGCATTGTTGCTCATTAATGCTATGTTTTCTTTTGAAGAAAAATGTTATTATGTTGAATTGAATTACATTAGTACATACTATTGTGCCAAAGAATAATGTTGCAAAGTTAGAATATCATATTGAAGTAAATTCAGACATACGGGATGATTTGACGAAAATATATTATTATGTTGGAGAAACTATCATTGTACATGTGATGGCTTGATCGGTGAAAATCATCATTTCATAGTAAGCCATACTGGTCAGCATTTGAACTTAGCTGAGACTTGGGCCAAATCTCTAGCCACATGTTGATATGATCTGTGCTCATTGAAGCGACTAACATTCATAGCAGTCAAAGTCTACATTTATTTCTTAACTGCATCATCAAGCCTGTCAATCCTTCATTCCAAATTTAGGAAAGAGGTTGATAATTTTTCAATCCTTTAATCATTGTCGTACGAAAGCATGCCACTGTTACCATAGGTGGCCATTAGCCTGGGACAAAATTTTGCTTCAAATACTAAATTAATGTAGTGACAGAAGTAGAATCTTGTAAAAACAAGAAAAGCTAAAAAGCTCAAGAACGTTATTAAGAATCACTTGAATAGTGAATATGATTGGTGATCATCACAAGTCTAACCCTATTCTTTATAGCAGTGGAAGAAGATATAATATTCTAATTCTCGTAGACTAAGTAAAAGAAATTAATCTCCTACAAAAACAACTCTTAAAAGAATAAGAAAAATGCTAACCTAAAGAAAGGGTGCAGAGGCAATCTTATGCCCTTGTAGACAGTGGCGGACGCAGAAATTTTGAATTAGTGGGGCACAATCCCAAATATAGGAGATTGGGCAGGGCTGTAGCCCAGTCCCCTCCCCAGCTCACTTAATAGTTTTTAGGGCCAAATAAATAAATAAATAAAAATAAGTTAAAAAAATTATGTGTACATTTAATTTTTTTACATGTTAGCCCAGTTTGTTATGTATTAGTCCGACTTGTAGTCCGAACCTAGAACCGTTCTTGACACAATCAAAATTGCAAAAATATTGTAAAAAAATAAAAATAAAAAACGTTCAATATACAATAGAATGGTTTAATACGATGCTTGAAAAATAAAAATAAAATGCTTAAAAAAAATTATCGATATATATGGATAACCAAAGCATCTTCATCTGACTACTCTAGATCATCACTATTGAATTTAGACATGAAAAATAAAATTTTATGAAATGAAATGAAGTTACACAACTTTGATCATCAAAGACCACTATCCAGTATTTTATTATTTTATTCCCCCAAAGGCCAAACAAAATTTTCTCATTCCAATAAAATACACGGTGACATACTGGCTTCTATGACTTTCTAGTTTACTCACTCACAACTCTCTCTCTCTCTCTCTCTCTCTCTCCTCTCTTTGTTTCATCCTTTACCCTCTCTTTACACTCTCCGATCTCACTTTCTTTTTACATGATAATTACATACACAATACAATACACATTTCTCTGAATGACAACCAATAATTCAATACCTATGTGTTGACTGTCCAAAAACCTTTGCTCAACTCAGTTCCTGAATTGTGAACCACCAATCACAGATGGATTCATTATGAGACTTTTTTTTTTAAATACATACACAATACACACAACTAAACACATTTTATAGTATGCTATGTCGGTGGAAGAGTGTTCGTCAACATAAGAAGAAGAAGAAGAAGAAGAAGAAGAAGAAGAAGAAGAAGAATGGGTTTCGATTTTCCAAGGGAAGGGAACTAGGGATGGGTTTCGATTTTTCCATTTGGGCACTGGAGTCTTCTTCTGGGTCCTGCTAAAGAGGACTAAAGGCCAAAAAAAAAAAAAAATCAATTTTTGGAAGTTGGTGGGTCACATGACCCACTAGGACCCATTGTGGGTCCGCCTTTGCCTGTAGAGAATCGCCTCACTAACAACTATGAATCCCACCTTAGGAAAGCATGCTTGCTCATCAGGGGTCGGTAAAAGTAGCTAGATATTATTAAGGATCCTAAACCTCTTCCTAAACTTTACCAATTTGGTCTCCTTCACGTAAGTTGGCCACAGAGAAGGCCCCCACCAAATACTGTAATCTATGGCCTTTTGCATCATCCAGGCACTATGAAGGTCTACTGTAACGCTCCGACCCGCATGGATGGAAACGTCACTCAAACCATTGTACCTCAGTGTTAGACTTAGAAATTATTTAAAATAATAATTTAATTAACTACTCCTTTAACGGAAACTAAACATTTAATAGTTTTAAAAAAAATTCCCTAAGAACTATATTTTTCCTAACATGCAGATTACTATAAAATTATAAAATAAACTTGTTTGCATAGTTATCAATGTCAAAATTCATAATATTTTAAGAAAAAGTAGGGAACATCTTATAATATAACATATCCAAAATTTGTCTTCCGTCGGTGACATATAAGGTGTTGAAATATTTCCCAAAAGCTCGTTAACACTAACTAAACAAAGCTGTTTACTTTTTCTATCTCGTAGGGTAAGTGTCAATAAATTTGTTTGTATAGCTATCGACCTCTAAATTTCATAAACTTTTAATGTGAAGTAGGAAACTCCTTATAATATAACATAGTAAAAAATTAGTTTCCATTAGTATCATATGAGGTATTAAATTATTTTTTAAAAACCCAACAACGACCCGGTTGAAAGATAAATCGGTGCAGTTCACTTAAAATGACATATAAAATTCAATAGACATCAAAACCACATGATTTAAAATTTATTCAATAGCTAATCCATGAGAATATCAAATCCATTTGGTTTCATCCAGAAATTCCAAGTAACGGTCGAGTTAGGAAATTTTGAAATCAAGGCAGAAGCTGGGAATACGACGACTCTACCAGTGCAGTTTACTTTATGCAACATATAAAATTCTACCGACATCGGATTGACATGATTCCAAGTTCATTCAATTTGTAACTTATGAGAGTATCCAATGCCAATAGTTTTGTATAAAAATACCAAGTAACAAAAGAGTTATGAATTTTTAAAAATGAGGCAGAATCTGAATTTTTTGAAAAGACAGCAAACTTTAAATCGCTAACATATTTTTTGTAAACGGTTATTTGTAAATTTATTCATACGATACATATATACTTTCAAATATAATTTATTCACGAAGAATGTTCGTAAAATAGATCTACACACGACATCCATAGGAATCTAATTTAAAGAAATCGTAAACATTTCATAATTAACTAAAGATATTAAATCACCGGCTTCTCTATGACATGTTGCATCATCCTTTACCATCATCCACACCCCAAGAAAAATCCATTCAACCTTTAGGAAGAGAATTAACCCATGAGTTTGAAACTCAATAGATATCATCTGCGTATTTCATTATCAAATTAGAAATTTCGAACTATTGATTCATACCGTTACACGCAGATGGATTTTCGGCAAAATCCAATTACTATAGGATTATCATAACACATAGAGCCGAAGAATGATCATTCAAACCGTTGTAGTGTCGAAGCACCATACCAAGAGGTACCATTTCATTCAAACATTTATGGAAAATCATAATTCAAAACAAAGTAAACACTTGCACCTCTACCTACCTTGAATTTTCTTGGATATCAAAGAACAAAATGTGTAGAAAGCCATTCTTCTTCTTACCCTTGTTATTCCCTTAGCAAGTTGACATAAAATATTTTTTTTGAGAGAAAATAAGAGGAAATTCGGATTTGAGGAGGGGTGTAGTGAAAAAGACACCTTTCACTTCTTATAACATTTTTTTAATGAAAAACTAAGTGGGGGAGTTCTATTATCAATAAATTTATTAAATTTGGTCTTTAACTAAGAATTTGAAGAGTTTTTAAGCCATAAAAAAATAATTCATAAAAAAATTTATAAAAACATCTACATGGTGATTTGAACCTGTGTTGCCTATATGAAATTTCATGTAAATGACCATTGTGGCAACCCAGTTATTCATTAAATCCTTGTAATCAAATTTACTTAAACTTAATCTCTTAAATTGTTCCATAGCTCGTTTCTTGAATGAGCTAAGCTTGTGGTGCTAGATCATCCCAAAATAATAGCCTAATTTTATTTTATTTCTCGGGCTTCTACATCCCTTATACCTTAAGTAAAATTTCGTCCTCGAAATTTAGCTTATGGATTGGCAAAGAGTGTCGGATTTGTTTTTGACTTCTTCTTCTCTGTCCCGAGTGGATTCTTCTACTCCATGATTATTCCATTGCACTTTGACCAGTTGAATCTCCTTATTCCGTAATATTTGTACTTTTCGATCCATTATCTTAATTAGTAATTCCTTCATAAGATAAGTCTTTTTGTACTTCCAAGGATTGATAATTGACCACATGATCATGGTCATTCATATACTTTATGATCATTGATTTATGAAACACATTGTGAATGGCTGATAGTTCAGGCTGCAAAGCCAGTCGATAACCCACATTCCCGACCCTGTCAAGTATTTCAAAAGATCCGATATAACGAGGTCGTAGTTTACCTTTCTTTCCGAATCTAAGCACACCCTTTATTGGTGCCACATTTAGAAAAACTTTCTTTTCAACCTCAAATTCGAAGTCTTTTCTCCTGGTATCTGCATAACTCTTTTGTCTATCTTGCACAGCCTTTATCCTGGTATGGATCTTATCAATGACTTCAACTGTTCTTTCAATGATCTCTGGTCCCAAAACTCTATTTTCTCCAACTTCATCCCAATGAACAGGTGATTTGCACCTTTCACTATAGAAAGTTTCATATGGTGCCATTCCAATAATTGCTTAAAAACTATTACTATATGCAAATTCCACAAAAGGTAGATACGATTTTTAACTACCTTATAGATCCAGAACACAGGCCCTTAGCATATATTCCAAAGTTTGAATAGTCCTTTCAGATTGACCATCCGATTGTGGGTGATACGCCGTATTGTAATTCAATTTCGTTCCCATATCTTTTTGTAAGCTCTTCCAAAACTTTGACGTAAATCTTAGATCTCTATTAGATACAATGGACATAGAGTATAACTGCGCCTGCTGATCTAGACTAAATGTCATTTTCACTAGAAGAAAATGAGCGGACTTTGTTAGATGATCCACTAGTACCCATATAGCATTATGTTCTCTTACTGACTTTGGAAATTCTACCACAAAGTCTATTGCGATATTTTCTCACTTTTATTCAAGTATGTCCAATGGATTTAAAAACCCTGCTATTCTTTGATGTTCTGTTTTAACTTGTTGGCACACTATGCATTTTGTCACAAATGAGCTTATACTTCCTTTCATATTCCTCCATCAAAATGTATTTCGAAGGTCTCGATACATTTTCGTACCATCGGGATGTGTGGTGTACGGGGTGGAATGAGCCTCCCCTAATATCTCCTTCATCAAAACTTTATCCTTAGGTATACAAATTCTTCCTTTAAATATTAGTACGTGATCAAAAGCTATTTCAAAATCCTTTCTCTTATCAGTACCAATCTCGTTCTTGATCTTTACCTTGTGCTTCTATGATCTCCGATCTCTAAGAGTGGGTTAAACCATCAAAGTTGCTAAATGAGCAGTGACTTGTTTTGGTGTGGTAATCACTTCGATTCACAAATTTTCCAAGTCTTTGATCAACTCCACCGGAATAGTAGGTAATGATGCCAATTGTCCCATCGACTTTCTACTTAGAGTATCGTCAACAACATTAGTCTTACCAGGATGGTAATGAATAGTGCAATCATAATCATTTACTAGCTCCAACCATCCTCTCTGTCTCATATTCAATTCTTTCTGGTAAAGAAATATTTGAGATTATTATGGTCGGTGTAAATGTCGTACTTTCCTCCATATAGGTAATGGCGCCATATCTTTAATGCATGAACCACCGCTGTAAGTTCTAGATCATTTGTCGGGTAGTTCTGCTCATGTTGCTTCAATTGTCTTGAGGCATAGGCAATTACTTTTCCATGCTGCATCGGTACACATCCCAAACCTTGTTTGGATGCGTCACTATACATAACAAACTCTTCTGAAACTTCAAGTATGGTTAATACAGGTGCTGTAATCAATCGTTGTTTTAGCTCCTGAAAGCTTTGCTCACACTTATCTGTCTATTGAAACTTTATTCCTTTCCTTGTCAATTGTGTCATTGGTCTAGCTATTTTGGAGAATCCTTCTATAAATCTCCAATAGTACCCAAGCAATCCTAGAAAACTTCAAACTTTACTAGCGTTAGTCGGTGTTTTCCAATTAGTTATTGCTTCCACCTTTACTGGATCTACTCCAATTCCTTGGGCAACAACTACGTAACCGAGGAATCCAACTCGTTCAAGTCAAAGTTCACATTTTAAATTTGGCGTATAGCTTTTCCTTACACAATGTTTCTAACGCTATTCTAAGATGTTCTTTATGTTGATCTTTACACTTGGAGTAAATTAGAATGTCATCAATGAAGACTATAACAAATTTATACAAATACTGATGAAATACTCGATTCATCACATCCATGAACACTGCTAGAACATTTATCAAACTGTGAACTCCTAATCTCCATAATGAGTTTTGAAAGCTGTCTTAGGTATATCACATTCCCTAACCTTCAATTGATGATATCCAGATCGTAAATCGATCTTGGAAAATATCTTAGTCCCTTTTAATTGATCAAACAAATCCATGATTCTCAGGAGAGGATACTTATTCTTGATGATCAAACGGTTCAACTCTCGATAGTCGATACACATCTACATACTTCCATCTTTCTTCTTTACAAACAATACCGGTGCGTCCCATGGTGATACACTTGGTCGAATAAAGCCAATGTCTAACAGTTCTTGTAACTGGATTTTCAACTCCCAAAGTTCTTTTGGAGGCCATTTTGTATGGAGCTTTAGATACCAGTGTCGCTCTGGGAACCAAATCTATTGTGAATTCCACTTTTCTATCTGGTGGAATACTAAGTAGATCTTCTGAAAATACATCTATAAATTTTTGCACCACTGGTACATCCTCAATCTTTATCGTTGTCAATTCTTTTCCAGAGATATTAACTAGAAATCCTTGAGATGCTTCATTTTTCAACATTTTCTCGGCTTATAAGGCCGATAATAGTTGGAGGTGGGGTTTGGTTTTTATTCTAGGGAAAGAAAATTGTTCCTCTCCTGGTTTATGAAAAGACACTTCCTTTTCTCTACAACGAATGGTTGCATAATTATATCCTAACCAATCCATGCCCAAAATTACATCAAAATCTTTTATCTCTATCACATACAAATTTGATTCAAATGTTTTTCCCTCAATTTTAAGATTCACCGACCTAGCGAACTGATCTGTGTTCAATGTTCTTCCTGAGAGAATGCTAACTTCTAGTGTACTCTTTGACTTACCATAGTTAATACTAGATTTAGCAATGAAAGATGTTGATACAAAAGAGTGAGTAGCTCCTGAATTAAACAGTAGATAAGCAGGTATATCATAAATCAGTAATATATCTGCTATCACATTTTAGTTTTCCTTTGCATCTTTCTGAGTCATTATAAAAACTCATGCTTTTCCATTTTTATTCTGTTCACAATCCTTAGCAATATGTCATGGTTTACCGCACTGAAAACAGGCATTCTTCCCATACAAGCATTCAGCACGATGAGGCTTACCACACTTAGGACATGGAGCTACTGTAGCAACTATGGCCTTACTGGCACTAGATCTAATATTAGCCTTCTTATTTTACCATTTGCCTTTCTTTTTGTCTTGATCATTTCATTTTCTCTTTCCAACTTGTCCTTTGTCCTGCTTGTTGTACAATTGGCGATGTTGCTCTGCATTTGCCTTCTGATACCAAATATCGTGAACTCATTCCAGCATCTCACGGTATGATGTGAAACGATGTGACATAAGAATCATGCTTAGGTTTGGGTTTAACCCTTGCTCAAACCTTCTAGTCTTCTTAATTTTCATGTCCACCAGGTGTGGAGCATACATTGAGAGGTAGTCAAATTTTTGCTCATAATTAGTCAAGAACATATGACCCTGCTTGAGCTGAAGGAATTCATTCTCCTTGAAATCCCTTAGAGACTGAGCAAAATACTTGTCCATTACTTCCTACTTGAATTGTTTCCCATGTTAACGTTAATTATTGCTCTTGGGTCTTAGTTCGAAACATCGAATCCCACCAGTGAATTGCATTAGCGATAAACATGAACTCTGCACACTGGACCTTTTGGGCATCAATGCAGTCTGAGTCAAAAACTTCGTTCTAACTTATGAAGTTATTCGTCAACTATTAATGACCTGATGCTCCATCGAAGGTAGGGGTTTATGCCTTCAAAAAATTTAATAATTAATTTTTTTAATAAACGAATAATCTCTACTCATTTCACTCTTGGTCTTCTTCTAGGTACGACCTCATCATCTGCGGTCACTACCTATTCGGATCCCATGTGGAAGATAACATCACCAATCTTAGTTTTTCACAATTACGTATACATGCATTGCAAAAACCTCAAAGTCAAGTACCTTAGGTCCACTTTCCAAATTTTGGGATAACATATTTTCTTATATAAGCTTCCCAATTTGTTTCTCACGAGGTAAAAGAGTTTCTAGCTAATGACCTATTGCTTGTCAGTCACTAATCCTATAATCATCATTCTTTGCATTTAGCCAATCTCAGTACATGCTTCGTATGTGATTTTCAAGGTCTACAAAATCGTCAGCCTCAAAATCTAGTTAAGCACAGATAACTATCTCCTATTGACTAATATGGTTCTTTTCCCTGGAATTTTGACTTTCATTTGACATTTGAGAACCGCAACTTCAAGTTCTAGCCCAATACATGTCCTTTGAATTACTTATCTTTTTTTTTTTTCAAGCTACATTTATCTTTACATATAAGGTATACATAAAGAAAAATATAAAATGTAGTGAAACATGGAAAACATAACTATAGAATCATAACATTTTTCATAACAAAAATTTTAACTATGCTTAGCTAAATATACATGGGTCGTAGGATGAGGTCGATGATGGATACGAGATGCCATGGAGTGCCTTAAATAATTCATTTTTCTCATCTTTAAATTTCCTGCTTGTACTTAAAATAATATATATTTTAAAAAAAAAAATGATGAGTCTACAGAATCGATTAAACTCATGCTCTAATACCATGTTGTAACTCCCCAACCTACATGGATGGAAACGAAGGAGTTATGGATTTTTAAAGACGAAGTAGAATCAGAATTTTTTGAAAAGACAGCAAAATTTTAAATCGCTAACATATTTTTCGTAAATGGTGATTTGTAAATTTATTCCTACGATACATATATACTTTCAAATATAATTTATTCATGAAGAATGTTCATAAAATAGATCTACACACGACATCCATAGGAATCTAATTTAAAGAAATCGTAAACATTTCATAATCAATTAAAGCTATTAAATCACCGGCTTCTCCATGACATGTCGCATCATCCTTTACCATTATCCATGCCCCAAGGAAAATCCATTCAACCTGTAGGAAGGAAATTAACCCATTAGTTTAAAACTTAATGGATATCATCGGTGCATTTCGTTATCAAATTAGAAATTTCGAACTATTGATTTATACCGTTACACGTAGATGGATTTCTGGCAAAATCCAATTACTATAGGATTATCATAACACGTAGAGCGGAAAAATGATCATTCAAATTGTTGTAGTGCCCAAGCACTGTACTCGGAGGTACCATTTCGTTCAAACATTTATTGAAAATCATAATTTGAAATGAAGTAATCACTTGCACCTA